TAAATAAATAAATAAATAAATAAATAAATTCTGCATGCCAAGCAGATGCTCTGCCCAGTGAGCCACAGCCACTGATCATACCAGCCTTGCTAGACCAAGCGTCTGACATAGTAGGGGGCAGTTTCATGTATACATGTGAAGGAACCACTGTTGGCCTTACCTGTAGATACAGGTGGAGGCCGTTCTAGGTTTGGAGCCCTTGGCTGGTTTCCTGGGCTTGAGGATTCAGAGGCTGAGGCTCGGAAAGAAACTATTTTCCGGAGCAAGTCGTATAGTTGGTTCCATTCTGCCAGAGGCGGGGAGGCCCTGCAGCGTGCGCTCCAGCGGACGGGAATGGCCGAGACGGTTACGGTTGCCCCTTTCCCCAACAGGCACGGGGAAGACCTCTACCTTGATCAAGTACGCAGAGAAGTGGTCCAACCTCCGGTTCCTGTACCTCGCATTCAACAAAAGCATCGCGGATCAGGGCAGGCGGGTGTTTCCCTGGAACGTGACGTGCAAGACGGTCCACTCCTTGGCCTTTGCAGAAGTCGGCAAGCTGTGAGTGGCGACCGTCCCGGTTCCCTGCCTCTGGCCGCAGGGCACGGCAGCATTTTGAGCGTGGCTTCAGTCTCTCGCCCGCTTTTCTACTCAGCCCAAGGGTGCTCATCTGCCTTTGCCTTCAGTGAGCCTCCGCTCTGGGGGAAAGGGACACGTTTGGGCTAGGCAGGTGAAGAACTTCCTGACACTAAGATCATGCCTGGGATAAAGCAGGTAGAGAAAGAGGGACTTTTCTCCCTTTCTCACAATACAAGAACTCGTGGGCACTCCATGAAATTGCTGACAGGTCAGGTTAGAACAGGTAAAAGGAAGTCCTTCTTCACCCAAAGAGTGATTAACAATGTGGCATTCACTGCCACAGGAGGTGGTGGCAGCTACAAGCATGGACGCTTCAAGAGGGAATTAGATAAGCATATGGAGCAGAGGTCCATCGGTGGCTCTTAGCCACAAGGTATAGACAGGAACTCTCAGTCTGGGGCAAGGGATGCTCTGTCTTCTTGGGGCTTGGGGGTTTGTCAACAGTGGGAGGGCTTCTAGTGTCCTGGCCCCACTGCTGGACCTCCTGATGGCACCTGGTATTTTTGGCCACTGTGTGGCACAGAGTGTTGGACTAGATGGGCCATTGGCCTGATCCAACATTGGCTTCTCTTATGTTCTCTTATGATCTTAAGGGTTGCCTCAGTCCTTAGTTCTCGTGGCCCTTTCTGTCATGCCCAGGGAAATGCCGATTGCCACTTTGGGGTCAGGAAGCCATTTTTCTCCAGGCCAGTTTGGCCAGGGACCACTGTTCCCTCTAAGCTGAGTTAGTGTGAGCTAGCTCATAGTTTTTTAGACTCTGGCTCGCACCTTTTTGTCTTAGCTCAGGAACGATGGCTCCAGAGCAAACTAATTTATGCAGCGGCCAAATTGCTCACTCACAACTTTAATGCAAGTAGTTCACAAAGTAGAATTATTGCTCACAAGACTCCATGGCTTAGAGGGAACATTGCCAGGGACCCTGGTGGTTTTTTTTGTCATCTTCTCGGCGTGGCTACTGCATAAATTACTTTGCTCTGGAGCCTTCTTTCCTGAGCTAAGACGAAAATGTGTGAGCCGGAGGCTAAAGAACTGTGCTGGCTCACACTAGTCAGCTTAGAGGGAACACTGGTGGTTAGGACTGGGGGGGGGACCATCGATTTTATTTATTTATTTTATTAATCCCATTTGTACCCCTCCCTCCCCCGCAATGCAGGCTCAGGGCGGCTCACGATCAGTCCATAAATACCATTAAAACAACATAAAATCATCTAAAAACAATTCCATTCTAGCTAGTACAATTTCATAAAGTGCTGGTGATGGTTGATTAGTTGCTCAAGATGGCTGACTTTCAGAGTATACTTCCAAAAACCTAGGAGTCATTCTGCTCATGATCTTCCTGCGGCACAGGCTGGGTGTCAAGACGAAGGGCCAGGGCTCTGTCGTAGTGGCGGCTCCCTAGCTGAAAGCCTGGCGGAAGAGCTCCGTCTCGCAGGCCCTGTGGAACTGTAAAAGATCCCGCAGGGCCCTGATCTCCTCCAGGAGCTCATTCCACCAGGATGGGGCTGCCACTGAGAAAGCTGGTGATGGCTGATTAGTTGCTCAAGATGGCTGACTTTCAGAGTATACTTTCAAAAACCTAGGAGTCATTCTGCTCATGATCTTCCTGCGGCACAGGCTGGGTGTCAAGACGAAGGGCCAGGGCTCTGTCGTCGTGGTGGCTCTCTAGCTGAAAGCCTGGCGGAAGAGCTCCGTCTCGCAGGCCCTGCGGAACTGTAAAAGATCCCGCAGGGCCCTGATCTCCTCCGGGAGCTCATTCCACCAGGATGGAGCCGCCACTGAAAAGGCCCTGGCCCTGGTGGCAGCGAGCCTGGAATCCTTAGGGCCTGGGAGGGTCAGTCGATTTTGAGACCTCGACCGTAGTGCTCTCTGGGGTATATATGGGGAAAGGCGGTCCCACAGGTATGTCAAGCAAGTCTGGGGGCATGACGAAGAGGTAGGCAGTGGCAAAACCACCTCAGAACGTCTCTCGGCTTGAAAACCCCACGGGGTCACCGTGAGTCGGCTGCGAGTTCAGGGGCCTTCCCACCCCATTTGTGGGCTGGGTTGGGTTTACGCTCGGTCTGGGAGGCTCCTTCGGTCTGTAAGACTCTGACCTGTCTCCCTTCTTTTTTCTGTCTGCCTCAGTTACAGCCAGAAGCACAAGCTGAACGGCGGCTCACTGAACTCTTATTGGGTCAGCTTCGTCCTCCAGGAGCGCCAAGGGCAGTCTCGATTCGTAAGGGCCAAGACGGTCATCCAGACCCTGGCGGCGTTTTTCGCCTCCCGGGACTCGACCATCACTTTCGAGCACACGCCCATCTGGTGCAAGAACACCCACGGACAGAGAGTTCTTGTCCAGGAGGACGAGAAAATTGTGAGTATTGGTTGGCGGAACCGGTTGGCTCACCGGGTCAGTTGGGGGGCTGTGGTGCACCTGGTGAACCTCCTGGTGGCACCTAAGTTTTGGCCCCTGTGTGACAGAGTGTTGGACTGCAGGGGCCATTGGCTTTAAAAAGGGAGTAGACAGATTCATGGAGGATCAGTCTATCAATGGCTACTGGCCATGGTGACCGAGGGGAACCTCCACGTTTGGAGGCACTAATCCTCTGGATCCCAGAGCCAGGAGACAACATCAGCCGACGACCTCGGCCTCCAGGCCCTCTTGTTGGCCATCCAGAAGAACTGGCTGGCCACTGTATGAGACAGGATGCTGGACTAAATGGACCATCACTGGTCTGATCCAGCAGGGCTATTCTGGGGTTCTTATGAAGGCCTTGGCCTCTCTGCCCTGTTGTTGGCCCTCCAGAGGAACTGGTTGGTCCCTGTGTGAGACGGGATGCTGGATTAGATGGACCTTCACTGGTCTGATCCAGCAGGGCTATTCTGACCTTCTTAGGGGAAGGCCTCGGCCTCCTTGCCCTGTTGTTGGCCCTCCAGAGGAACTGGTTGGCTACTGTGTGAGACACGATGCTGGACTAGATGGACCCTCACTGGTCCGATCCAGCAGGACTCTTCTGGTGTTCTTATGAAGGCCTCGGCCTCTCTGCCCTGTTGTTGGCCCTCCAGAGGAACTGATTGGCCACTGAGTGAGACACAATGCTGAACTAGATGGACCATCATTGGTCTGATCCAGCAGGGCTCTTTTGGTGTTCTTATGAAGGCCTTGGCCTTTCTGCCCTGTTGTTGGCACTCCAGAGGAACTGACTGGCCCGTGTGAGACAGGATGCTGGACTAGATGGACCCTCACTGGTCTGATGCAGCAGGGCTCTTCTGATGTCCTAGCTGTGCTCAGTCAAAAGACCTGCCAACAGTTAATGAGCAAACCTCTCCATAGCTTTTCAGGGTCCCAGGCTGAAGTCTTTCCCATCACCTACTGCCTGGTCCTTTCTAACTGGAGAGGCTGGGAATTGAACCTGGGACCTTCTGCATGCCAAGCAGATGTTCAACCATTAAGCCGCAGTCCCTCCTCATCTTGAACTTTCTTGTGAGGCAGGTTAGGGTGACCGTATGTGACTGGCCCAAAGTCACTTAGTAAACTTCCAGGGCAGAGGCAGGATTTGAACCTGGGTCTTAGTCGAGCTCTCTAAGCACTACACCACACTGCCCCGGCAGGCAAGACTGTTCTGATGTTCTTGTGCCCTCTAGATCATTCTTGAGGAAGCCAACCGTATTTGGGACAATATGAGAAGTCTGAGACCGACGAAGGAGATGGCGCACAAGATGACCCATGACGGTATATGGGGCTGAAGGATGGGTGAGGGTCGCTGTCTGGACCAAAGACAAACACTCTCCCGTTCTCAGGTGCTGAGCTCACAGCCACCTGGGGCCTTGGGATCCTCACTGGGTCTTGGTCCTTTTCTGAGGCTCTTTTACATCAGGGTTCCTCTCAAGGATGCAGACAGACACTCAGCAGACACTCCCAGCAAGATAGGTTAAAAATACCTCTGCATTTATTTGAATCCTTCAGATAACAAGGAGTGTTTGCTCGGCAGAAACCACTCACAAATTATAGCAATGGCAAAAAAACAACGACACCATACTTGCACTGGGCAGAGGCTGAGCCTGAAGCATTAACTCCTTGTGGCTTCCTTCACTGGGGTAATCTTGCCACTCACCCGAAGGCTTAAGAAAGAGAGTCCACTCCCACAGGCATAGTCCACAGCATTCCTGATTTAATTAACGCTCAGCCCCAAACAGGCTGCAACCAGCCTGTGAAAACTTATAGCTTGGTCGCATTAATAAAAGCCTAAGTTCTGTAAGTTCTAATCCTTACACCTCCCCCACTCCATCGACACGGTCAAAAGACCATGTCGGTGGAGTCACACAAGAATAAAAATTATTGTCCCAAATACAACACAAGCAACATACATAAACCAAATAATATATGCAAAGGTAACAAGTTAACAACAACAATAAAATTTAAAACCATTAAAAGGCACAATTACAAGTAGCACTTTTTAACAATATGGAACTGAAGATATGTAAAT